CTGCCTCAGCCTCCCGAGTAGCTGGGACTACAGGCGCCTGCCACCATGCCCAGCTAATTTTTGTACTTTTAGTAGAGACGAAGTTTCACCATGTTGGCCAGGATGATCTCGATCTTGTGATCCACCCACTCGGCCTCCCAAAGTGCTGGGATTACAGGCGTGAGCCACCACGCGTGGCCAATCGTTTACTTTTTACTCCTTTAGGTATGTTGACAAAGCTCATGACCTAGATTTTGGACTCTGGGAGTCTGCCTGGCATTATGAAGGAGACGGGTTTTCTTCATTTGATTTTGTCATTTCCCATGGTGATTTTTATTAGGTCACTTAGTAACTTCTTTTGCCCTTGAAGTGCACATGAAAAATATCTTTTCAAATTCTTGATCTCTTGTTCTGTTTTGGTTCAGTCCTTAACATACCTCTAGCTTCCCAAGAACTCTGTCCACTCCCAGTACTCTTATCTCTCCGATATCTTGCTTGTGGCTAAGAACCAATTCTGACTGGTTAATATAAAAGGCTGGGATGAAAGGAATGAGGATTCGTTGCATTCCATTCTTGCTACGTTCACTGACCAGTGTAGCCCACCCATAGACTGAGGTGTCAGCCACACTGAGGGCCTGTAGCAGCTCCTCTGACTGTGGTCGAACCTTGATTATGCAGATATAAACCCCTGAAAAAAAAAGAGGAAAAACTGATCAGGAAGGTTCAGAGGCTCTACTGAGCCAACTGAATTAGGATAGGAAGGAAAAACTGTGACATGCAAATTCAGCAAAAGAGAAAATGTGAATTTAGTTTTGAGTGTTCAATATCAGCACAATATTGGTCACAATGAGGAGGATACCAAATAAAAACAGTCCTAGAGAAACCACAACTGAATTTGTTTACTGAGAATACCATTCTTTCTTTTTTTTTGGAGACAGGGTCTCATGCTGTCATGCAGGCTAGAGCACAGTGGCAAGATCATGGCATTCTGCAGTCCTGACCTCCCAGGCTCCAGCGATCCTCCCACCTCAGCCTCCCGAGTAGCTGGGACTACAGGCATGAACCACCATGCCTGGCTAATTTTTGTATTTTTAGCTGAGGCGGGTGGATCACAAGGTCAAGAGTTCAAGTCCAGCCTGGCCAACA